TTACGAGAAATAACAAAAAGCATTCAGCCTATTGTTCTTTTCGAACTGAAACTGTAACTGTCGAGATTAATTCACAATTTATCTTAATGAGTGGAAACATGATATAGATATTTAAAATTCCTATAAACCACTATCGCATATTTTATGACTAAATAAGCACCCTTAATCGATGATTATAGTATGTAACATTCTAAATCATTACAAATTGTAGGAATAATTCATATCACATTTATTTGATAGTAGCTTTTTTACACTATTTGAGTGACTGACAGAAACTTGAAAGAGTCCAAGGTTTGAGTATCATTCCATTAATGGGAATAACTTTCGTTGGGAGGAAATATGTATATTTGTGTTCTCTATCCATATCTTTCAACTAGCAATCAGAAAATTTGCTTCAGTCTCCCAATGCATGGTAAAGTTTGAGAATTATTCCAAGATTATTTCCTTGAATATTTTTATGGGACTGAATATTAAAAATCATTGACATCACTTTAAATGTTTAAGTTACCGGTGATGACCAATACTTTTTGTGATTTACATTGTATTACAACAAATGCTCCAGAAATCCCGCGGTATAAATTATCGTCCCAATTGATTTACTTAGTAAATAATTTTTAACACTCATCCCCATTTGAAAATTATCACTGACTCTTTTATGCATAATTCAACTTATTATACACAGACATTTAGTCTACTAATCTCCTCACTAACATTGTGTAAATTTAATCAGTCTTAGTGATATTTAATGAAATTCAATCTAGAAATATGTAATCGAAATAACCATATCCTCTTAACTACTGAAACTAAATCCATTCATGATTATAACGATGACGATGATGATGATGATGTTCTAGTCGGGAAAATGTTGAACATGTAAACCTGCTATTATAAATGTATATGAATTAACTCACAGTTAAATTAGTGAACATGTTTTTCACTCAAGTTATTTATTAGTATTAATCATGTGCAATCACCATATTTGACAAGCCTTCTTCTAATTGTTAAATTATTTACCCGCTCAATAATTTCATTTTCCCTAACTGGATATGAATCGCTTTAGTTACCAAGTTCCATAATAATGAAAATAATAATAATAATTACATTTAATTCGGATGAATATAAAGAGATGATAAAGAGAAACATGATGATCATAACGACAAGTTTTGTTGTTTAAATGAACAATGAATGAGGATAATATAAATTAGAAGTAAATTAACATGGGACAATTGTGATATACATCTTATGATCTTAATTTTTTTAAAGCCTATTTCTATCATTTAGAAACAGGACACCTGTTCATGTTACCTACATGAATAAGTCACATAAGAAGAAGAGAAATTTACCCAGGGTTTAAAGTTTCTTATAAAACATGTGACAATACATAATAAAAGCTGTCAGATTTAAAGTTTATCTTCATTATTAACTAACAGCATTGGAAATTATGAATTTACAGTCAATTGATGCTGAAGAATCATCAGTAATCTGTACATTCAAATTATATATGGTGTTTTTTGCTTTAAGGTAAATATGTTTCTATCAGTAGAGGGCTGTGGAGATTATTAAGTTTTCGATTGAGATCATGAACCGATTGATGTTAGACCATCATTGAAAACGTGGAAGCAGTGGACGACCGTTTCGTGCTATTGTGGGACTCCCTAGCAGTGCGCATCCACCGTCCCGCTCGTGAGATTCGAACCAAGGGCCTTCAGTTTCGTGCACGAACGCTTAACCTCTAGACCACTGAATCGGCCGGCATCCAGCAGTGTTAATTTCTAACCTCAACCATTCCACGAAATCGCGCGACCATCTTCCATTGTACTGAGGTAGATACCTGTCTCTACCCGACACGGTTATAGCTTCTCACTAGGACCCCGACAATTCTCTCACAAAGCTAGTCACTAGTCTCGCGCGCTTTATGTTTGAATCTCACGAGCGGGATCGTTGATACGCACTACTGAGAAGGCCCAAAATAGGACGAAACGGTCGTCCAGTGCCTCCATGTTTTTAATGGTGGTCTAACATCAGTCAGTTCATGATTTCAATCAAAAAATATGTTTCTGTTGAATGGGAAGTAATCGGTTCACATGTTTCAATTTTGGTGAATACAACTGTTAGTTAATGTTTACCAGTGAGTAACTGCATCGATGTCAACTTAGTTAACTCTGCCAGGATCATGGTTTAAAACTCAAACTTCAGGGAATCGATTTTAGATTCCTCAGAGTACATGTTTCCTAGTTGTTGTTATTAAATAATTTAGTTGATCGTTCTCTATTATAATATGCACATACCCGTCACATAAGCCAGCGCCTATTTAGGCTCATTCACTTAATGGATTGTCTATTAGATGTTTGAAAGGAAAGGTACTGGTTCTGAGTTTTAGTGTGAATTCCAATACTAGGATGCATGTAAATTCAGCTGATGAGTTTCAAATAGGACGAAATCTGAGGCCCAGATTTCATTGCTGCGCACTAACTAACTTCATTAAAAATCGATTTCAATGTTAGTCACTTGTGAAGTAGATTATTTTAATAAGATTATCTCAATTATTTCGAATGTAACTATATGAATGAAGCGAATTATTGAAACTAAAAGATATTTATGTAAAAAGATGTTAATAAGTCTTTTTTTTCTAAAACTAAACAAACTGTAACTTGACATATGAAGTCAACCATTAAAAGAGTCATTTACTCACGACTGACGACAGATAACAGTCAAGTTGTATTACCACTACATTTAGAAAATGTGGCTAGTTGAATGGAGTAAATGACATATTCACGCTCTGTTCATAATCTGAATTTTATGCGTCCAATTCATTGTGTACCTTAAGTACCGCAGAGTCTCAAACTGAAAATAAACAAGCGTACAATGTTACTTAGTTTTCAAAGCGTCTTAGGGATAATTCTTAAATCTGAAGGCTAATGTGAATGTCTCCTTTGCACAAATAAGCTATTGGAAATTCGTAGAATAGCCTTACATGAATAGAATGGTTGATCGATCCCTCCTCTCACTGTTTCATTTTCAAACTCTACACCTTTTTATTTCATCAGACCATTTTCTCTCATTTATCTTGAATACTTTATCTTACTTTACAGATGCAACGTATTATGTTCTAATCTAAGAGATTATTTTTATTACATAATTACTTCCATACATCTCTTTTTAATCAACCTTAACTAATCTTTGTTTGGTCTGGGGCTTTCGATATTATCGAATCGAAAATTGAAACTATCCTCAGCTAGATTCACTTGGCATTGTTTACTTGAATGTCTTTATTGATGCTTAGGACTGCAGTGGATCAATCTCTTATTGATGTCTGTGCACATTGTGAGTATTGCCTCGATATTGCGTTAATTCACAAGCATTCTGAGCAAAAATGGATAGTGGCCAGCAGTGGCGTCCAGGACGCACGTTCCGTCCTACTTGGGACTCGTCAGCTGGATGTACCTGCATCTCAGGGTTGATGTTCACTCTGGGACTCGAACCCAGTACTGTTCACTTCAAACGCCATCGCGTTATCCACTTATCTACTGAGTCCTGATATCCAATTGCTTGTGCTATAAGGTGAAGTTTAAATTCGCTTAACATTGTTTACTTGACTCAGTAGATAAGTGGATAACGCGATGACGTTTGAAACGAACAGTACTGGGTTCGAGTCCCAGAGTGAACATCAACCCTGAGATGCAGGTACATCCGGCTGACGAGTCCCAAGTAGGACGAAACGCGCTTCCTGGATTCCACTGCTAGCCATTATATATATTTGCTTATATTCTCAGCTAGCTTTATTTCACGGTTTATTATTATAGCCCTGAATAAATATGTTTTCAAGGATGATTTTATTACTATTGATATTCGCCTGTATAATCCTTGGTGAAGTATTTTAAGGTGGCCTATTTAAATCCCTGGACTATATATGTCTTAACTGTACAAGCATTACAATCGTGTTTCCCATTCTGAGTCCACTACAGGTAAATAATTAGTTCTGTTAACCACTTTATGTACTGAAGTACTTTTTTACAATGCATCATGATGTTAATCAGCACAATACTGGTGTCATGAGACTTGAGGATCAGAGTTTTTAATTATTAAACAGTTTTGGGTGATCTTCGTACAGAAGTCCTGATATGAAACCTGGTAAGTTAACACTTCATATTAGTCAGCCCCGTCATTAACGATTTGAATTGATTTTATATGACAAACAACAATTCTTGAGTCACATATTACAGTTTTAAATGATGTACTCTGCCTTAAGTCTGGCCAACTTATGGGTTATTAATTTGGATTTATAATTGTAGAACCTGATGAGGAATTATTGAAAAGAATAGTCCTCGTTCATATAATTGTGTTTTAACCTGATAATTGCCAAGTACTCTCTGATTTCCGGTGGTTTTCTGGTTAATGTTAATTCATGGTGAAAATCACTTGCAAACACAATTTGTCAATATCACAACTTCGATATGTTTTGTCTACTGGAATATATTAAGTGCTGAGTAATTCCCCCCTAATGGTTTTTTTGTATCTAAGCGTGTGATTCACTAGCGTGTTATTTTTTTAATTCATTAATCTCATTTACAAGCATATGAACTGTTTACTGTTCCAGAAATCAGGAAGCAACAAGATATCTCAATATTCATTAGATAAAATCCAATAAAATCCCTATACTGATAAAATAAAATGGTTGGTTCCAATGGATCCAGAAAATATTCTTTTTTTCAAACACACCCTCTGAGTTAAATGCTGCCCTTTTTAGTAGTCGTTTTTTCCCTTTGTTAGAAAAATGATTATGTACATGGTCATTTTAATGAAATAATGAATTGTAAATGTAACTTGAAAGGACGCAGATTATTCCGATTGGTCTAATTATATTTCTGTCTCCCTTATTTTGTCCAATCAAAATCACGAATATTTAACTTGAGGCATACACCTTTTCTATTTAAAACCATATTGTTATAAATTTTTATTTCATTATTTTCACAACATTCTTGCTTTACTTCAAAGACATTATGTCGCGAAATTGTATCGGAAATCTATCACCGATTCAACGAAAACTTTTAACAAAACGAAGATGTCAATCTACATTCAAACCACTCAGTGGATTGAATAAAAATATCCGAAAAAGAACATACTTAAAAAGATTAAATGATAATAATTCTTTAAAACCACATCAAATTGAATGTGAACGATTGAAGGAAATTCTACCAACTGTTGCAAACTGTGAAAATTTGGATGAAGTAAGTTATTAAACCTTACAATCATGTATACACTGTATTGATGTTGTAGGTCGAGTTATTTTTTTAGAAGCACCAGAACACTACAACTTTGCCATACCTTTTGTTGCAGTCTGGATTGAATTTCCAGGACTGTAACTGACCAATCTTTATTAGAATATATGCACCCTGTGTTATTTGACTAGATACTGCTTTAGTTATAAGTTTTAGTACACTTGGATTGTGGCTAAAATTGTAGTGTTCTGTACTTTTTTGTACTGGATGTATCTGCATCCAAGAGCTCACATATATACAACTGGTTGTTCATTATTGTAGATCATATTATATTGTGTTTATAATAAGATTCTAGAAGTCTTTTGATGCAAGACTAAAACTGAGAATTCTCTAAGCAAGAGCAAAAGAGATTCTCATAGCACACAAGTTTTCCCTAAGGTTGCCTAAAAAGAACCTTAATCCTCAGATTATAACTCTAAAACAATTCACTTTTTAGCCTGAATAATCTTCCACTTTTCATAAAATGTTTATTGTTTGTAATAGTAATTTATAACTACTACTATAGTCAGTTAACTTCGAGTATAAAGATTATAGAAACAAAGACATACCTATAAGTATGTCAATATCTGTAATAAGTAGCTAATAAGAACCTAATGAAATAAAATGAATTCACATTATTCTGCACCAATCTTTGTTTCTGCTCTCTTTGCGATAATAAAAGGAATCATGTATATGAAATTCGATCATAAAATTATCAAATTAATCACGTTCTTAAAACTAATCTCTTTCATATTGACAAATTTTTAAATAAGATCACGTTTTTTCATTATCAGTTTGTCGTCCTACATGTACGTGCGTTTTCCTTTAATTCAAGTGACAGAATTGACAGTTACCAATGACTATTTACATTGTTTACATAGATACAAGTTAAGTTATTCTGATATCTCTTCTCAAATCCAATGAGCCGTTTTACTGGTTTAATGAGGCAGATTAATCATTGTTAGATTTCGATTTGCTTATTATTTTAATAAACAATGTAACTTATCCTGCCGACTACTCATTTGTGATAATCTGAAACTTATCATGTACTCTGTTATATAAATGGAAGTTTGTGTATACATACATAAATCTTTTTACCCCATTATTTTTCTATTAGGTGAAAATTATTCAAGAAGCAATAAAGCATATAAACTATTTAGAACAAGCAGTACTTCGACGATTAAATATTATCAATGTAGAAACTTCAATTGAAAACAGTAAGTTTTGTTTTGTATTGTTTATGCTATTATGATCATTTGATTGAGATCATGAATCCATCAATGTTAAAACACTTTTGAAAACCTGAGAGCACTGGGAGGTCGTTTCGTTCTAGTGCGGGACTCCTTAGCAGTTCGTACTCACGACCTTGTACGCGGGACTCGAACTCGGGATCTTCAATAATACACGGACGCTAAACCTCCAGATCACTGAGACGGCATGCAGGACCGTGGATGCTCACTGCCGAGGAGTCCCATACTTGGACGAAACGGTTGTCCAGTGCTTTAAGTTTTTCAATGGTGGTTTAGATTTAATTGACTCATGAATTTAACTATTCAGTTACTAAATTATGAGAATGTGAAAAAAACAGAAGTCAATATCATTAGGTAAATTCATGGTCTCTACCAAAAACTCAACAGTCTCCACAACCCAATACTGATCATTATGACCAGTTTGTTAAAGTTTCACCACATTATTTATAATTTATTTAATTCTCAAAACGATTGATTGAGAAGAGTAATAGAATGCGACATAAAGTATATTTTCTCTTTAATAGTCAGTTTACCTTCAACCATGGGTATAGGGTTATTGTAGTTTGAAGATATTTACAGGTCTCGTAAAATTGTTGGTATAGTTCAACTGTATATAAATACGCTAATTCTATTTGTTCATCTTAAATATGATACAACATAATAATATAATATTAAGTCTCAAATATTGAATTAAGATTTCTACTATTTATTACTTTTGCTAAGTTGCTATTAGAATTTATCATGCCCTGTAGTTTTAGCCATGTTTTTTAGCTTATCTATGCTAATTTTCTAATAAAATAAAGGTCGAAATACTGAAGTTACTCGGATAATAATTGCTAGCAACATCCAGCTGAAAATACTTCGATGTTTAATCTAGATACTATTCCTTGGATCTATTGCAAAAAAGAAGACCATGTTTATTTCTCAATCGACTTGTAGATGATATTTTCAAGTTGTCTACTTAAAACTTGAGACATGTTCATCTTAGAAATAAACATCTGAATAGTGTTAGTAACTATCAGGTCATACTGGTAATGTTTTGTTAAGTCAATAGAATTATTTATGTAAATGAATAACACATGTTCTGTTCACATATCACTTGGTATGATTCCAAATTCTCTATGTATAAAAATAAATGTTCATGTGTGTATATAATATGCATGCGTGCTACTATCAGATAATAAACAAATACCTCATTTAAACATATGGTAAAATTCTCAAAATGATATTGTAGTAGAAGTAATAATAATAACCACTACATTCAACAGATTCAGTCAGATTCGCATATAAAAAGTATATTTCAAGCTTGATCTAATTAGTTAAATTAACACAATTCAGAAGTATTTCACTCTTGTCTCGTTATCAGAATGGGGATTTGTGGAGATTGTAGTAATTTCATCAGTTGAATTTAGGAGTCGATCTAAGCTAGACCACCATTAAAAACCTGGAAGCGCTGGACGGCCGTTTCGTCTCAGTATGATACTTCACAGCAGTGCACATCCGCGACAAAGAGTTGCTCAAGATCATGAATCGATTGAAGTTATACATTAACATCGTTGAATGCGAGCTCACTGATCTAGAGGTTAAGTGTCCGCACCCAAAACCGAAGGTCCTGGACTCGAATCGTGTGTGAGGGATCGCGGATGTGCATTGCTGAGGAGTCCTATACTATGACGAAATGGCCGTCCAGTGCTATAAGGTTTTCAGTGGTGGTCTAGCATAGATCGGCTCATAAATTCAACTGTTTATACTTGTCCCGTTCTCAAAAACTGACAATAACAATGTATGAGCTGAATTCATTTACTAAAACAAAGATGTTCAGTATTGTAAGATGTTAAAAAATATCCAGAATATCTCGATACTAAGACATTGTTACAAAAAATGTCGGTATTGAATATGATTCTTTTATAAAAGATGTTGAAAATATTAAATGATAGAGCTTTGGACAAGATAAAGGGCACAATTAAACCTAATTCCTTTTGAAAAATGATATTTTTTTCATCAATCCACTATTTTCTTCTTTTCTTCATCCTACAGGTAATCTCCATTCTTCCTCATTGTCATCATCCTCCTTACTTCCAGCGTTCATTTTTAAATTATTATCTAGTCAGAATAATCCATCACAATCAATATCAGAAGAGAATTTGCTTTTTCATGCTAATACTTCTTATCATAACAGGCCTCAACTAAATAATAATTACATAACTGATGATAATTTTTTATCAAAATCCTATGAATATTTAAATTCCAATGGTAGTACACCATATCAGACAGATGATGATATTGATCAACTGGGGTAAAAGGATATGGTAAAAAGAAAACTTTTTTAAATACTACAATTTCAGCGCCTTGTAAATAAAAAAAGTGAACATATTTGATGGTAAATAACCAAAACCACTGTTGAACACTAAACTCAATTAACTGTACATAAAAATACATACATTATTGTACATAAGTTATTTTGATTGAATTAAATATTTAAAGAGATACATTATGAATGATTATAAATTCTTATTTGGTTTTATTATGTAATCAGAAATGTCATTACATCTGTTTTGAACTATCTAACTCTGTTTTGAAGTTGTCTGTCGTTATGAGAAGGAGTCATTTTGTTTAGAAATTTAGTTTATTAGTCCTAGAGTGTAAACAAAAAAACACGGTTATACACTTAAAGGCAAACTACAGAAAACCTTATGAACTAAGTTTTATAGTGGTAGTATTCAATGATATAGTGCTTAAATACAACTAGTCAGTTCAAGTCGACACCACTGAATTCTCTATAGACTACGTGATTATCATCATATGCATTATTATCATCATTTTATATCTCAGTAATCAGTCTACAGCATAGAATATATAAATCATGAAAAACGACTGATAAAGCGAAAAGAACACTTTCTCTAAATATATAAAGTAAGACAATAAAAAACGAGAGGTAATTAACTAACGAAAATTTACGAAGACTAAAGCCGTAAGGTATATACTACTACGGTAACGCTCAATATTTTGTTTGGTTCTCATTAAAATGTGACTATCGAATTCAGTCAAGTATACGACAATGTTTAAATTCAATCAGTCTGACCATAGAATGATAAGAATTCCATCCAGCATTATGGTTACAGATCTTACTGAAAGTCATAGAATTCAGTAAGTGCTAGTCCATATTTCAGCAGCATTTTTAAAAACGAGAATGTTGTGTAATAGTCAAATTGTCCGTTTGTATTTGGATAAAAGCGCATTTATTCAGAGTCGTTGAGTTGTTCTGGTTTCACTGTTGGTTTTATAAGAATTGAAAGACCAATTAGTGAACCTTAAAAAATATGGTCATACCTAGGTCTTGATTTAATAAGCTAGGAATTATTCTTATCCAACCAGTATTAATATTTTACACAGATGTTTTTTTTCTCATTTAAGCCTTGTGCACAGTAGGATACGACTTGCTTAAACATGTTTTTTTCAACATTGTTTATAAAATATAAAACAAATACATTTCGATCTGTTTTTAAAGTGATGAAACTGTTGATATTAGTATGCTTAAAAGTGCAAACAACCAAATGAGATTTGGTAAAGCTAGAAAGTAGCTATCAGTGAAATCCGGAACGCTCGTTTATTCTAATTTATATCACTGTAATTACAAATCGATCTAAGTTAGACAACTATTGTAAATCTGGAAGCATTAATATGGGACTCCTCAACAGTACGCATCTACGACCCCGCAGGTGGAAATCAGACCCAGGACCATCAGTTTCCTGTTTGAACGCTTAGACTCTAGACCACTGAGCCGGTATCCAATGATGTAATCCAGTCAGTTTGCAGGAGTCCATTGCTTTCAGGTATTGAATCATTGTATAATTTAGATCTGTCCGTGATTTTATTGAAATCTAACTGTTTCCACAACCCAATGCTTACTTCCTTGTTTTTCCCTTAGAATTTGTTCTCCACATAAGATATAAATTCTCTGCCTTTTAATTGATCTTGAAATTCCAGATTTACAACAAAAAGTGAATTAGCAGTTTAAGGGTGATTAAGTAATGTAAATGTTTGTTAGCCTTATAGATTCATTGAAATACATTAACACTTAGCATTATAGAATATTTTCACCCAGTTAACATGAAGTAATACATAAATAATTACGTAGAAAAATTGTATGCTTGTGTGGGTTCGATAAAATCTAAGTTAAGTCAGCACTTTTTTTGTTGTTGATCAAAATGATAGCTGGTATAAATTTGCATGTCTATGTCATTGTCCAATGTCTCGATAGTAGTATGTGTGTTTAGTAATTTAACTCAGCGGATGCATGTATGGATCTAAAATGCTGAACTTATTATTTCTGTGATACTTGTGATATTAGATTAGAATTTTTTAAAGTATGGTATTAATCAGTATGAAAAAATTATCATGAACTATCTGTTTTCCAACTTTTATAATTTTCCATTTGTTTACTAGGCATTAACATGTTCACATATATACTCACTAATATTAATGTTAATTTGTAACATGAAACATTCAGTATTTAAATATGACAAAGACCAGTCATGATATTGACAAATATCTCTTTTGTAGAATCTATTTATTCTAGTTCATATAACAAGTGATATCACACTAAAAAAAAAGCGAAACACTCGTTCTTCTCTTCAAGGTTAAGGTAACTTGATTATCACAGATGCATAGCATGATCTATAATTCATGATACAAACAATACAGATGATATAAATAAACGTTGATCATTATCTTACTAGAAGATTACAGTCACTAGAAATTACCTATTTCTGTGATGAAGTTTCTGTCTGACTAGAGTATAATGCTTTCAGTTCGAAATTTGAAAGGTATTTTGAAGAGTTTCTACAGTTTGGCTGTCATGAGGTGATTTTTTTGAAAGTTTATAATGCTTTATAATTAGTCACCGAGTACATAAGTTAGGAGTAAACGAGACACCAAGTGATATAATATGCATGTACACACAAAACAGTGTGATCATATTAATATATAAAGAGAGAGAATATCAGATTTTGTAAGATAACTTCTCAATTGATTATACTGAATTATTTCTCAGACAAGAATCATGAATTTGTGTTACGTTCCTACATTCTAGTAAGAAAAATATTTAATCCAATAATTCAACAGATGACTTCTATTTTTTCCCCTTCAGTCAGGGAGTTGATACCCTGGATAGTATAAATTAAACATGTATAGGCTACCAGAAATCCATTTTATGGTAATCATTAGGTTTAGAGACAAATCATTATCAAAATTTATTGCTACTTACATATCGGTATCTCATCATCCACAAGAAACAATAATGAAACATTATAACATGTTAAATGTATCTAATTCAACGTGACTAGTTATAAACAATGTAAAAGAAAATTGTGTTTTTCACTAAAACACAACATAAAAATCTAATCTCATTTACTTGGTCAATTATCATCACCTGCCTATGAACTTAAATCTAATTATTTGTGAAAAGGATGCACATAAATTGGTCACATTTCAAAAGAACAGTGTCAATTAAAACAGAATATAACATGTGAATGTAGATGTCATTCTATGATATAAACTAACTTCAGATTGAGTAATCTCTATAAAACCCCTTAACTTAACAATGCAAGTTTATAGCTTCTAGAGGAATCCCCAAAGTTGTGATCGATCGAATGAAAGGCATTTACCCAGTGATGGCATCGAGTAATGATTGTGCCAAAACTGATTGAAGTTAGAAATATGAACCATCAAATTCTGACTCTATGGTTTAATGGTGATGTGTACATTTCTGGATCTTAAGTTCCTGATATCGATCTTCAGTTCTGCTCATTATCTAAGAGTTTCAGAATAATATAAAACAGTTGTTTATTCTTTGTGTAAGGAACTTGTGCAGATTATTAAGGTTTACAATTGAAGTAATAGACTGAGAAGTTTCAAACTGGAAAGAAAACAGCTATTCAGTTGTTTCTGGTTTGTAGTGATTGTCATAATTCCCGGAGTTCTGGTAAGAAGCCACAATCATGGAGTTTGAGCATGTCGGGTGTGTATCAGTTATTCACATATACCATTAGTTGACGGTTACTTAATAACTTGAATGGAAGTGCAACCCATTGGGTGCTGACTCAGTGGTCTGAAGGTTAAGAGCTTATCACGAAACTTGAATATCCTGAATTCGATCTGTGTTGTGGTCGTAATTGAGCTCTGCTAACAAATCACATTCTAGAACGAAATAACTGTCTAATGTTTGCTAGTATCCAATGTTATCCTGAATTCAACCAGTTCTCCAGTAAACCTCGGGTCTTTATCAAGACTAACTTGAAACTGTAATTATCATAAGAAAAGTATTAAATAGTAAAACATACTAAGATAAGTTTTACGATACAAAATGATTATTTTTATCTCACATATTCCTCAATATTAATTGACTCTTAGAATCACTAAACTTTACTCATTATGATAATTTAAGGTAATATAAAGAACAATATTACCATTGTATTATGCCTCAGTGATTAAATTCCACCAAGTCTATAATTACAAAAACAAGCAACTTTATAATTAACATTGGTGAAAATGAATAAATGTCAAGTTATAATTATTAAAATACCACAACTAGGAATGAATTTTTTTGAAAAAAATTGTGTATTTTAGGCATAAAAAAAGTTGTCTACCACCTGTTTATTCACTTGAACTAACACCTTACTTATATGTTTATATGTTAGTGTAGGCACAAATAGTCATCTGGTGAACTGTTTAATGAATCACTGAAACTTCATGATTGCGGCTAAACGAAAGGGTCAGTGGTTAAATGACCTTATAGGAACAGTAATAATAATGAGAGTAATAATAATAATAACTATTATTCACTGGGTGAGTTAGGAAGAAATGTGTCTTACTGCTATCTTGGGTATTAGTTGCTAAGCCTACAATATACATATATATGTATGTTTCTAATTTGGTAGGAGATATAAGCAATTAATTATTTATCTTTGGTATGTGCGTCTGTGCATATATACATCTGTACTACTTGCATCTGTTGGGGTTATAAATATAGTCTAATCATTCCCACAACCTAGTAACTACTGTAAAAAAATATACTCCGTAACATCATATAGGAAAATAAATACACCTTCCAGATGTCCACCTTAAAGATACCATGATTTATGAGACGAGGATCGATATACCATATTTTCATGATGAAATTACTAAGATGGGTCAGAGATTAGATGTTTTTGTTAAGCTAAAATTATTAGTTTTATGATCGTCAAATAAAGCAAATCATAAAGTATATAACTTCCAGCATACAATTTTATTGACATTGAGT